CGTTGTTGCGATGCGATGCGATGCGATGCGAAGCGATGTGAGCCACAATGTTGTAATAAATTAATTCAGCATTTAACAACGAAAGCAGCAACAGCAACAGCAATAAACAGCACATGCCAACCCCATTGCCACCGATTTCAAATCCTAACAGCGATGTGAGAAGCAACGCGCGCCCATCCGCGCCGCCTCGTTTTGCGTCAATATTATTAATGCAGTGAATTGTGCTGAGCGCGTAGCGACGCGACTGAAACGACAGTTTGAACTGAAAGCTTTGTTATGGCATGTCTTACATACATATATGTACATATATGTGTGTAAGTACGTATAAGTTTTTGTTTGTAATATTGTTGTCATTTGTAAACTGCGCGATATGCATGTTAGTAGTAGGTATAGCTGATACATGAGACAGCGGCGATTGCGGCGGGTGGCTGATGCGCGTGCGCGCACAACTAAGTGTATAGTTAGTGACAGGCGCGCGTGCGTATGCCGACAAACAAACTGTTGCTGCAGGGGGCTGCTGAAAATGTGTTAAACTCTCAGTCAGCACTCAGCAGTAGACAAGAAGTTATTGCGCTGCAACAAGCTCATATACAATCTAATAAATAACCACAGGCTATTAACATATTTACATAGGTACATACACGTATACATAAGTATGTAAAGACAGTCATATAGTTTTATTAAAATATTAACACAAAACCACTTATGAAAATATTGCATGATATATGTATAAATACGTACATATGTATGTATGTATGTTTTGAAAAATGGTTATGGAAATGTTTACATATGTATGTTATTATGGATTCAAAAAAAGCTTGACGTATATTTGTATAAATACAAACATGGAATTTTGATAATTTTTTTTGCGCCATATAAGCAGTTCTGTCTCTTGGCACAAAGCTTTTTTCTACATCAATCAACTCTACTTTAACCAACACTTCTTTGCTCAACCAACTTAAATCTTAATTTATAATATTTTTATTTCATTAATTTATTTTGTTTCATTTCATTATATCTTATTTTAATTTAATAATTTTAATTTAGAAATATTATTTTATTATTTTTTTCCTTGTTTGGTTTTATTTTAATTTTTCTACAGGATGCACCATGTAGACCTTAGGTATTTCAACATTGAATGCCTCAATTAGTTTTTAGCCGATTTTGAAAAATTAGCAATTTATATAGGATATATCTAAATACTTTGCCATTTGTCTTAAATCAGTTTTTGAACAACGTTGAGTAAGTGAACACTTTCATTCGATACACAAAAATCAGCTCCTTTTCGCGCTTTCTACATAACTTTGGCCAGCATTTTAGGCGTTACAGCCACTATTTCGGCTCGTATGTTATGAATGACATGTGTGTTTTCTTTTCCCCAAATTCGACAGTTTTGTTTATTGACTCCGCCAGAGAAAGTGAAATGAGCTTAAACCGTCATCAAAATTATATCCCAAATATCATGTTCAGCATCGATCATCCCTGTGACAGCATTCCCATATTTATTTTACTTTATTTTATTTCATTTTATTTTATTTTATTTTATTTTATTTTATTTTATTTTATTTTATTTTATTTTATTTTATTTTATTTTATTTTATATGTTTTTTTTTTTAATTTAGTTCATTTTTTAATTTTATATCATTATATTTCAGTTTATTTTATTATATTTTATTTTTATTTTATTAAATTTCATTTAATTTTATTACATTTTTTAATCTTATTTCATTTTATTTTATTTTATATTTTTGTTTTATATTATTTTATTTAGTTTACGTTTTATTTTACTTTATTTTATATATTTTGGCTAATTTATTTTCGTTTTATTTTATTTTAATATATTTCATTTTATCTTATTTTAAGTAATTGTATATTATTTTATTTCCATTTTATTTAATTTAATTAATTTTAAATTTTTGTTTTATTTTATTTTAATTCATTTATTATTATATAAATTAATATAATTTCATTTTATTTTATTTCATTTTATTTCGTTTCATTTTCTTTTATTTAATTTTTTTGGGATTTATTTTATTTTTTTTATGTTATTTTATTTCATTTTTATATATATTTTTTTCTTTTATTGTACTTTGTTTTATTTCATATTATTTTGTTTTGTTTTATTTATTTATTTTATTTATCCATTTGTATTTAATTTAATTTTCTTTATATTATTATGTTTTAATTACGTTTCGTTTCATTTATTTTTTTATTTTATTTCATTCTTATTCATTTTAATTTTTTTTTATATGCTTTTTTCTTTTATTGTATTTTCTTTTGTTTTATTTTGTAATATTTCATTTTATTGTATTTTGTCTTAATGTATTTATTATAATTTATTTTATTTAATTTTGTGTCATTTTATGCATTATTCAATTAATTGATTTAATTTAATTTTTTTGAGTTCATTTTATTTTGTTTTCCCTTTTTTTATTTTTTGTTTGTTTTATTTTATTTTTGTATTTATTTTTTGTTTGTTCTTTTTTATTTTTTAATTTAAATTATTTTAATTTGATTTACTTCAGATTAACCTTCGTTTCCATACAAAAATGTGATGAAATGTAAATAATAGCTTGCTTCAAATATATGCATAAGTGAATATAAAGTAAGTATATAAATGTGCAATTTTTGGCCGAGCTCCATCTTTAATTTGTGATGAGCGTCTTGCCGTTTTTTCCAACAATTATAAGGACCAAAAATTTATTCTAAGCCGCCTCTGAACGCCCGAAGGATTTTCTTGATTTTCTTGATATCTTAAAATTTGAAAATCAGATGTGGTTTAATTATCAATGTATAAATGAAGAAATAATATTTAAAATTAAGTAAACCTCAGCTCATTAACGGTACATAGACGTCGACAGAACCTCTCACTTCTTGCCGTAGTGTTTGCGAAGTGATTATAAATGTTATTATTGTTGTTCTATACGAAGTAGCGCATGTGATTTGCATTCCATAAGTGCATGGGGCAACAACAACAGCAACACTGCGCACGCGTGCGAATTTACAAATGCCAAATGGTAATGTTGTTACCAAATAGCCAACGTTGTTACAGTTGCATTTGCGATTGCAATAGTAACTGAGACTCGTGGCTTGGCAAAGACTGCAGTTGTGATGGGAAAGCAATGGACTCACAGTCGTTGGCAGGCGGCTACGGCGATGACTGTGGCTGGCCGAGCTTGTGCCAAAGAACGTTTTGCTATCACACATGTTGTTGTTATTGTTTGCTGTAATTTTAGCGTGTGCTGTAGACAGCACCCGAGCAACAAGCCAGCAGCCCACTTTTTCGCGAGGCAGGCAGACAACGATGCTGGTGGTGATGGTGGTTGTGGTGGTGCATGCACACAGCGGCGCTTGTGCCATACAAATCGTGTAAAGAAGGCAGCTTGCAGACAAGCAAGGAGATGTAATAACAACCAACGTGGAATGGCAATCAAGCATAATAAGAGTCAAAACGAGCTGAAGTGCAAATGAAGGTAAAAGGTAGAAGTAACCCGCGTCGAGATCAGAAGGTATCTACTTGGATTGGCGCAAACAGCCAGCAATCGAAACGACTAACCATCAGCCCCACTCAGACATGCCGACCAACGGCGGACGAAGCACGAACTTGCAATGATCCATAAAGCGTTAAAAAATGCGATGACTATTCCACAATTATCGGCGTGCCACATCGTGCCTTTGCCGCCGCCATCACAAGGCCTAAACCAAGACCAAGACCAACACCAATGCCACAGAACCGGGCAACCAACAGAAGGAAGGAATCTTTGCCACTGCATAAGAACGGGTTGGCGGATGGAAGACGCGGCGCACGCGGTATATAATACCGGCAGCAGCAAACAGCACAAGCCAAGAAAAGGCCAGAAAAAATTCAACTACAAGCCAGCATAAGTGCACACACAAGGCAACAAAGAGGCGAGAAACCAAAAAAAAAACATGATAAAAAGAAAAAATTCAAGACAAGCAAATCTTAAGTGAGGATAAAGCGCGGTCGCGCATACACTCCAATTCAAAAATGAAATGAAACACAAACAGCTCGTTATGGATGGCAGGCATGTGCGCCACTGCCACCGCCCCACCAACCGCTTAACAATCAAAAGCTATCAGCAAGCCAAGCCGAGCCATGCCATGCCAGCCAACCGACCAACCAACCAACCAACCAACAGCCAAGCAAACAAGCAAAGACGGACGGCAGGCAGCAAGACTATGCCGCGCACCACTTAAGAGACCCCAATCAGGCAGTCATGCTGGCATCAGTCATTCAAGCAGCAGGCCAACCGCCACAAACGGACAGACACACCCGTACCGAGTATATGAGGTTTAGTTGATTGTGTATATATCTATATACCAGTTGTGGTCGCACATAGGGGACGCCGTAGGCATGCAGGGGCAGCTGGCGGGTTGGACGGGGAAGTCGAGCTGTCGTGAGAAATCGACTACACTCGACTTTCCCACGGTATAACAATCACAACTTAAGTTGACGACAACAGCGGCGGAGACGGAGATGGAGACAGAGTCGACGCGCGCTGACTCGTTCCACATTAATGCCGCTGCCGGAGCTAAGCCGCTACAACAACAAACACGAGCAGTCAATGTGGCTTGTCGTTGCACAAATAAATGAACGGACAGGCGGGCGAAGGGACAAACGGGTCGAATGGATGGATGGATGGTTGAATAGTTGTGTAGGGGAATTTATTGTGTGCCGGCAAGGCGATGGAATGTCGATGTCGTGCAGGGGGGTTAGTTGTACGAATGCAGTATGTTTGTGTGCTTGCTTGTGTGTGACCGGATAAGAGCAGCAAGTAGGCAAACAAAGGCGCGCGCAAAGACGAAAGCAGGGAGAGCCGTTGAAGACGTTAAACGACGTCAGTTGAGAAGTGATACTTCAACTGCTTACTTAGTACAGTAGTACGAGTGTAACACAAAGGCAAGACCGGCGCAAACCGAAGGGGGTTTAAATGATGATGGTGCTATCAAATACGGGCATTTTCTCATTGCCTGGCTATGGCGACGTCACAGTGGTGGTTTTTGTCAATACCTCGCTGTGTTTTGCGCTCTCCACAGTAAGCTCGATCGTTGTTGTGCGCTGCTCACTGAAGTGAGTGTCAGCAGAGCCGCTCGGAGGCTATAAAAGAAGCAGCTCGACGACGTTTGTTAGCATTTACTGCATTGACGTTGAGTTAAACAGACACGCGCAAATTGGAAACTCCGTTTGGATTACGAGCGTTTGGCGAATTTGGGAAGAAAACAAAGAAATTATCAAATTATCGGACGATATCAAACTGTTTAAATATAAAACAACAACTGATCTCAAAGCAATGGTACTCGAGATGGAGATGTCTAAAACCTATCAATACCGTAAAGTGATGAAACCGATGTTGGAGCGCAAGCGCCGCGCACGCATCAACAAGTGTTTGGATGAGCTGAAGGACATAATGGTCGAGTGTCTAACACAAGAGGGCGAGCACATCACGCGCCTCGAAAAAGCCGACATATTGGAACTGACTGTGGAACATATGAAAAAATTACGCGCACAAAAACAATTGCGCTTGGGCGGTGTTGGTGCTGGCACAGGCGCAGTGCAAGATCCCAAACTGACGATAGCGGAAAGCTTCCGTGCAGGCTATGTGCATGCCGCAAATGAGGTATCTAAGACACTAGCCGCGCTACCAGGTGTCAACGTGGACTTGGGTACGCAACTAATGAGTCAACTGGGTCATCGTTTGAACTATTTGCAAGTGGTAGTGCCGAGTGTACCATTGGCCGGTGGAATGTCACAACCGCAGCCTTTCATGCCGACCACAGTAATGCCATCAACAACAGTAACAGCAGCAGCTCATCAGTACTACAGCTTGAGTGGCAGTGAACGTAGTGCGAGCAGTAGTCCAATTGTAATTACACCACCACCCTCAGAGTGCGGTAGCAGTGAAAGTGGCAGTTGCAGTCCGGCGCCGAGTGAATCATCATTTGGTGGTGCTGTGTGGCGTCCTTGGTGAATGAATGAACAGTGTGTGTGCGGTAAAAGCGCACAGAGTGATCTACCCAAAATGAGGATCGCTTATGGGATTTGAATTTTACGAAAGCTCTAAAGCTTTCGTGCGGCGCAACAGGTGAAAACACCGAATAAGTTGATGAAAACTGTTCGTTTAGTAGGCAGTACTCCAGTGCGTATGCGGACAGAATGCGCGTCTCGCTTTTGGTGGCAAGAATGAGATTTTCGCTCGGCGTTACGAAGCCACTACAAGCTGGCGCTGAGTAAAGACTTAATGGGAACGACCTGAAGCACTTTTATGGAAAGAAAAATTTTAAATAATGAAAAATGTAATAAATTATATTTAAACTCAAATTTTCTCTAAGAAAAGCTTTTGTAAACACAGGAAAGCATAAATTAATGTATTTTGTAAAAATATTGAAAAAAGAAAAATTAGAATATATAAAAAATTTCAATCAAAGTAAAAAAAAAAATATGTCTCTTTATTTCATTTAGGTACTCTAATCTCTTTGCCTCAAGCACCAGCTTATCGCTAAAGAAGGTCTTGACCATTCCTTAATTCACGCCGCTGACGTATGTAACTACGTCAATAGACGTCACGCGCGCCAAAGTTAATCCAAAGTCGATGTCTTGTTCAATAAAAACAAAAAATAATAATCATTAATTTATTTTAATTGCCAATCATACGATTCCCGAAAAGTGAATATTCCCACGAGCTTCAATTTCAGTATTTCACAATCGGCGCCAAAATTAGCCCGGACGCTGACAAAACTGGCAGAAAAAAACAATTTTTCAATAGATTAAATATCAGACGCGATTATAGCTTTATACTCGCACGAATGATTGTATGTTTGTATGTGCACCACTTTTGAGTCATACATATTTAAGTATGTCGATTGCAAACTCGTGCCAATAGAAACTGGTTAAATTACGTGCGAGCGCGCGCTGTACAAGCGTTTTGTTGCTTCTCACGCTTATGAACAGCGCGCAACGAACTCTTCGCAAACGAAAGAAAAAAGAAGCAGTTAAAATTGTAATTGTAATATGCCTAAACATATGTACATACATACATATATTGTATTACCCGCTTACATGCCAACAAATATAAATATATACATACATATGTATGCATGTAGAAAAACGCAAAATACAAAGCTTCTCTTTTTGTATTTTACAAATTTTTTTTATTTTTTTAAACTCACTCAACAAGTATAAATAATAATAAAAAGGCTACTAATAATAACTAGCATTGCGATACAAAGCAAAGCAAAGTATAGCAACGTACACAAAGAAATTAGAGAAAAAAAACCAACAACAACGCGCACAACTCAAATGGCAGTTAACGCGTCGCATGCCGCATGCCGCAAGCGGAAGCGTGAGCCATTCATTGAAAAATTTTCCCACACTTTTGTGCGGTCGCGCTTAATGTGCGCTGCCAGCGCAAGTCATCGCGTCGCGTCGCATCGCGTCGCACACTTAATGACTTTCCAAGAACACACAAAAACGATAAAAGCGACGCGTATTTGGCTTATCGTTGCGCATTTAAGTAAATACACGCAAATATAGGGTGGGTAAACTACATGTTGGTTTTAGAGCTCGGACGTCTACGATGGCATTTAGGTTTACGTTTGCGCATAAAAAATTGAGAAATAAAGAAAACCACTTCTAAAATGGTGAGCCCAGCTCCAGACAAGCAAGCATTATGTGCATGGAGCTCGTCAAACCAGTTCGTCATCGGACAAAACAACTCGGGCACATCCTCACTAAGAGTGCTCCAACAGCTATCAATAGGATTTTGCATAAAGAGCTCGGTGTGAGGACAGATAAAGTTCAATTGGTCTAAAAGCTGAAGTCTCATGACGATCCGAATCGATTTCACATCGGGCTGCAGAAAGCTGGTGAGAAGATGATCATTTTTACCGAATATCATTTGCAACTTTGCACATATGTTTTCAAGCAAATCTGCCGCTTTTGGGGATCAGGAAACTCATACGTAACCTCGGGTCATCATTCGTCCACTTTTTTTCTAGAACATCAGTGTCGATTAGTAACGTGCCATGCTCGGTGATTTATTTGGTACCCAATTGATGAAGGGAATTACACAGCCAGCGTTACAATGCGCAATGTTGAAAACTTGCATAACAAGCCGAAGCAGCGACGCCAAAAAGCCGCCTTACTTACTTACTTTACTGGCGTAGGCAGCGCTTACGCGATTTTAGCTGAATTTTGAACATCTCGAAATTCATTACTTTCTCTCGCTGCTTAGCGCCAATTGGAGATACCAAGTAGAGCCAGGTCCTTCTTTATATGGTCTTTCCAACGGAGTAGATTTCTTCCTCGGCGCGGTTGTTGTGGCCGATAATGTCAATATGATCGGCGTACACTAGCAGCTGTACACTCTTATAAAATATTGTACCTTCTCTATTCAGCACTGCAGCTCTTATTATTCTCACCAGTATCAAATTGAAGAAATCACACGACAAAGAGTCACCCTCTCTGAAACCTCGTTTGGTATCGAACGACTCGATTCCGACTGTGCTTCTGGTGTTGTCCAGCGTCAGCTTTCACAGCCGTATAAGTTTTGCGAGGATACCAAATTCAGACATAGCGGCATAAAGGCAGCTCCTTTTCGTGCTGTCGAAGGCGGATTTAAAATTGACGAAGAGGTGGTGGGTGTCGATCCTCTTTTCACGGGTCTTTTCCAAGATTTGTCGCATGGTGATATCTGATCAATAGTTGGCTTACCAGGTCTAAAGCCACACTGATAAGGTCCAATAAGTTTTTTTACAGTGAGCTTTAGTCTTTTACAAAATACGCTCGACAGGACCTACTAGTGATACTAAGGAGGCTTATCTCATGATAATTGGCGCAGCCTTTTATGGATTGGGCAAAGCAATCGTCGACCATATTCTCCTAAGTAGCTAATGCGTGTACCTTGTGTGCTCTTCACCGCCATGTTTGAATAGTTCTGCAGGTAGGCCGTCAGCTCCAGCCGCTTTGTTGTTTTTTAAGCGAGCGATTGCTATTTGAACTTCTCCATGGTCAGGTAATGGAACGTCTTTTCCATCGTCGTCGATTGGGGTTTCGGGTTCACCATCTCCAGTTACTCCATTTTCACTGCTATTCAGCGGGCTGGAGAAGTGTTACCTCCACAAATTCAATATGCTGTGGGCATTGGTGGCTAGATCAACTCTTTGTGTCCTACAAGAGTCTGCTCCGGTCTTGAAATCACAACACAAGAGGCCGCCTAGTCATCAATAATTTTACTCTGTTGTACGATCTTTGGTGGCAGCCGATAAAGATAAGTGCAATGTCATCTATTCAGAGATGAGCTCTTGACTTGAAACACAAAATAAAAGTCAACATTGCAGCCATAGAAGCGCACACAATCGAAAATGTGTTCAAGAATTGGATTGACAGACAGGATAAACAGAAGAGCACAAGGTCAGCCATGGCAGCTATGTTAATGAAGAGGTGATCCATCAATCATCCGTTATGTTGCGGCAAAATAATTGAAAAATGTTTGTCCATTCTGGTTCTTAAATCAGCAGAACCTTCTTGGCTCACCCGTTACACACATGCATACAACCAAATAAATATTTTCATAAATATACTGCAAGGCATTTTGCTTGTGCTTAAAACTGACCCGCGACGCGCTCTGGCGCACTGCGATGGTGGTCCGGCGTATGCGCGCAAATCTCCAGAGCGTGTGTTTGCAGAGGATACAGCTGCGGATTTAAAACTACGGATTAAAAGTGTATGTACATATGTATGTATATGTTTACTATAAAATTCTAAAACTCACTTCAGTTCAAGTTAAAAATACTTTTTCGCTTAACGAGTTATCAGTTGTTTTGCATTTTTTACTTCTAAATTATTTCCGCTTTAAAAGCGAAAACTTTGTGAAAATAAAATTGTTGCTTTATATTTTTGTATGTAACTTCCGGCGCAGCGTTTTAAATAAATTCATAAAGAAATTCAATCAGTTAAAGAATTATTTGGCTGGAAAGTACGCAGTTAGTAGTTTATGCGTACGGCAAAATTAAATAGAATTTTCTTCGGCGCTTAACTTTTTTCAACATAATTGTTTACTTAAATTTTTAAGCTATCAAACATTTGCGGTTTGCGCTTATTCGCAATTCGACTTTCTTCGTCATCTTCGTTTTGTGGTGTGCGTCTTGTTGTTTTACGCAGAAATGGGGGAATCTACAGTTCAGTCAAAGCTGCCACCAAACGGTTGAGGGATTTTATTGAGGTGTTTTTTATTTCGGGCCAGAAATGCACACGGAGGTGTTAACATTATATGCCGAGAGGCGATCGTAATTATAAAAATTAATATAAAATTCATTTGTTATTTCTATAATATTGGTTGTCACCCTCCGCCTTTCAGAGCACGGGTAAAAACTACCATTCTTTTTGTATCATCCAATAAGTTTATGTGGCAACTGGTTAGTCTATGAATGGTTTTACAATCCCTGCTTAAATCTCAAAAAATTTATTGTCTTATTAATCACTGTAACATCTCAACAATATTTTCCTGATTTTCAAGTCGATTCGAATAAAAGTGCCCCGGAGGTGCCCCTGAAAAGTCAGTTAGACCAGCCCTATAAACTATAAACACCTTTTGCTCGAAACTGTGCTTTTCAAGTCGGTTGTCAAAAGTTCGTGAAAACTGCTGGCGCTGTCTTGCTGGGTATTGTTTTTCACGAGGAATTGCACGAAAGAGTTTCATACTACTTTTCAATCATTATTATAAAAAAAGCAGAAAGCTGTGGAAAATTTTACCAAAATCTGTTTTTGTTTTATTTTTTTTTTTTTTGCAAAGAAATCTGCCAAAAAATGAAATGTCCTCTAATCTTTATTTACCTTCGTTCAAGTTCTAGCTTATGGCATTAACTTAAACGCTATTTTCTACCATATCCCATGATCCCGCCATTAGTTCTATTGTCAACGCTGACGTTCTTTTATTCCGAGTAGTCACCGGAAATGGCATCACAACGGTGGACTTATGAACATTTTCCTTTGAAAATTTTGAAAATGAAACAAATCAAGTATTTCCAATATAAACATAGGCGAGACCATTTCCTTTAGAGGCCCCTCCACTATAAGATGCCAAGAGGCCAAAAGGATTAAGTGCGCATGATCAAGGGATACCGTGATAAAGCAACCAACTTAACTAACAATTTATCTTTAAGACAGTAAAAAGTTTGAATTTTTTTTTTTTTTTCTATAAAAAAATTATTGATTATAGAGCTTTTGCTTCTCGATTAAACCTATATGACCCCTCAACCAAAAACCAGTCGCAATCAATGAGAAACAGCTCAGAAATACTTGTGAGTATTTTTGACAAATTTTGAAATAAAAGAACTAACCAAGGAAATATGAAGTCATACGAGGTTATTTATTTTAAGAATGCGCAAAGATTA